AAAAAAAAAAAATAGAGTTTGATTAAAGTTCATTATAAACATATAGTAAATTGCTTCTGGACACATGTACCTTATTTAGCTGAGTTTTTTCCTACATTTTTTGATAACTACACTTTGTTAAAGTGAATTTCTTTTACATGTTATAGGCCTAATTACAGCAGTGAAGACCATTTCCTAAGATAAATAGCATGACTTCCTTGTCAAATAACAAAAATTTTTCTAACCTCATGCTATAAAACATACTACTTTAAGCAAGAATCAACACAATGCAGAATAACACAACTCAATTACTTGGACTGTCCTTTGATACTTCCTGACATATCTTGAGGGACAGTAGTAATTTATGTAATAATTTACTAAGTTGAAGCAACATGTTACAGGAACCAAAATAAGAGAAAGAAATACCTAACCCAATGTCAATGTATCCATTCTCATTCATTTGGCAAATCACACGATAAGAGAATATTATACTAATACATGTGATGTTTGGGTAAATTAAATGTGTACTAGTTACTTTGGTAAAACCCACTTCAACAGGGAAGTTCAAGGAGACGCAGAAAGTTTGAGGGAGGTGGGATGTAGTGAACTCAGCGTTAGATCCAGCTAATTCTCCAGGTAGGCCTGACTCCTCTAAGATGCACCATTTGAAAATAAATACATGATTTCCCAACATTTTTTTTGGAGACCACTTTGAAAGAGCAACATGCTTCATGGAACTTTACTAAAGTAGTCCTGCTGATCTCCATGAAGAAAAACAGTCTCAATTTTCAGTTTTTCATTTTTATAGTTTCCTGTTTATGTTTACTTTCATGTTTTTGAATATCTATCTGAATCAACAATGAAAAAGAGACTTAAATAACCATATTTGTTCATTTCTATGGGAAATGAACCTTAGGGAGGACTCTCTAAAAGCTCTTATTATTGACCTTATAAGCCCTAAACTCTATTATTCCAAGACCAAACTATAGGAAAATTAAGCAAAGATATTAAATTTATTATTTTTTGATGCAGTAGCTATTAGGGAAGAGCTAAAGAAAAGTCTAATGTGTTTTTATACAGCTGTCAGAATTATTTCATATTTTAGAAGTTTACCCTTTAACAATTAAAATGTCAGTGGATCACTCTACCCAACGAAATAAATGTACTTACCAAACTTCAAGAGACATTTCCAGAAACATTTCAGTGACCTAGGACAGATGTATTAATCAGATTAAGTCATAAAATGGATGTGTGTTACATATAATGCAAACAAGGTCAAAACAATTTTTGAGTGCCAGATTATTTTTAACCTAAAAGAATCCTAAAAATAAAAGTAACATAGCTTCATGAAGACCCTAAATTATGGATGTATTTCAACAAATATATATATATATATATTTTTTGCTATTTTTCACAATATAAGTCTAATCAGTCATTTTAATAAACATAAGAATTGCCTCTGCATAGTTGTTTTCCTCGTTCACTAAAATGAAGTAGTTGAGTTCTACAATCATTATGCGTGAAACCTAAAAATTGCCTGAGCTCTAAAAACTATGAATATGTGCGTATTATTCGGGAACTATTCCTGGGCCAAAAAAGCCTGGGTGAAAATACACACAGGTGCATTTGTGACAAGTGTGGGCTGTAATAAACTGGAGACAGAACACCTCTCCAAGGTGGCAGCAGGACCAGGGGCCAGCCAACTGTGGTCAGCTCAGGAAATATCTACAGATGGGAGGTGGGCTCAGGTTTTCATTTTTTCAACACTGTGAGCCAACCAAATTTATGGGAGGACCCCATCCTGCCAGTGGGCCAACTGTGGTTTAACGGAAAAGAGAGTGATTAATATCCACAGAGAAGAAGGGATATTAAAAGGTGTCTTTCCAGAGACTATACATCTGTTGTATGGAAAGACCTTCTCTGTACTACCCCTGCCATTAGTTATCAATAATGTAATTTTAGATTGTTATGAGAACCAAATGAGAAAATGTTTTGAAGTTTGCTGCATAATTGTAAAATGGTGCTATTATTTTTATTATATCAGTTACCATAGAATATAGTTAAGAGTGAACCTGCCCAATACCTTCGGATAGAACAGAACTCGGATATGCCTCTTAAAAGTGAAGAAGATGTTTTTGGAAGCAACATAAAATGCTATAGATTATTGGCTTTGTTTTCTTTTTGGTTTCAGAGGATGGAAAAAAACAAGCTAGAAGGAGCTTTCCAAAAGGTTAAAATAAGTTCATGGCTAATTCTCAGGACTACATTTTATGAATAAGAAAAAGGTACTGAAATCATCTGTACAAGAATTTGCCTCTCCCACTAAACTGTAAGCTTTATCTTATATAGATCTCTACTACAGTTCATTTCACAGTGTTTGGTATTCAACACATAATCAATAGATACCTGTTGAATTACTGTGCATGTGAGTGTGAGGGGAGCACATGAGGCAATCTTTCCGTGTCAAGAAACATTTCATTGCTGCTAAACATAAAATCATGGGTTAGTTTAACACACATAGCAGTTCCTCTGGAATCCTATGACCTTTATTCATCAAGGCAGCATATCAAATTACTTTGAAGTTAACAAAATAATCAAGAATCCCAGTACAAATGGAATTACACATGCCCCGATGAATCAGAGTTCAGTTATAAGTCAAAAAGGTGACTGGCTTCTAAACAATTAATGGAGCTGCTGTCTGTTCTACCAGTGGTAGACCTGCTCAGACCACACCTCAGCAGCACATCGTGTCTGTTCCCTATTTCTAAATTTCAAATGGAGTCTTTCCCAAAGAGGGCTTGGAAAACTTTATAGTGAATGAGGTTGCTTTGGTTATTTAGTGAAAAAACAAGACATGGGTAAAACATGGTCTGTTTTTTTTTTTTCCCAAAAAAATATATGAAAGCTGGTATTAAAACAAGACTTAGATTTACTGTTTTCATCTCCAGAGGGCAAAAACACTATGGAAGAATGGAAACTCAAAGAACGACATTATAACTCTTCGTGAAGTATTCTAACCAATGGAAAGATTCAAAGCTGGAATGGGCTTCTTAGTCCAATGTGCCACATGATGACAGACTTGAGAAAAAAGATGGCTCCCCAACTGGCAGGTCCCTAAGCAATTTAGCTATTAAGATAATCAATGCCTGGCTATATCTAATGCCTACTTGTCCTGACAACTTAATAAATAAAAGGAAAATCAACTGTGCTATGTTCATGGTCATATTTGTCTTCTCCACAGAATGTCCCTTCTATAGCCACCCACAGTGCTTCTTGGACATTCATAATCCTAGAAGACTGACTGATAAGACTTCTTAAATGAAGGCAGGATGAGAGAAGGGAAGACACAGGATTTTCCCGCCACGTACAGTAATACAGAATGTGTTGTGGTGGAAATTATCACATGGATTGGGATCCTCACTTCCACATGTGGCCCAAGTGGATCACCCACCATCTGAAGGAAATTTTAAACTCTCCCACTTGATGTGCTATGCTCAGACATGCTATGAAGACTGACATTTACAATCTCCCCACACTTTTTAACCTGAAACATGTCATTCAGATGCAATAGCCACAAAAACATGTACTTCCTGTGAGGCATTAAAGAAGAATTGGAAATTCCTTCCCACACACCGCATCACGGTCTTCCACATTGCTTGCAGTCTCAAAGCAATTTGAAGGAAAGGTGATCCAGTCTCTCTGGCTCTCCCCAACCCCGTAACACCTAGCTAGAAGCCAGACAAATGAGAATAACTCCACCTCTTCTAGGAATTATAAATGTAAGAAGCAGACTGTACTCATTGTACATTCTTTTGGAAAACAACAATCTCATCTTTGATTTCCACAGTGGAAAGCAATTTTAGATGCTTATAATGGGAGATGTTCACCCGGGGGAGAAGGTAAGGACCTAGAGGAGAGAAACTATATAAAGAAGCCACTTTAGATTTAAAAATAATTTATTTTTTAAAAGATTTTATTTATTTATTTGAGAGAGAGAGCAAGAGAGAGAGAGCACAGAGGGAGAGGGAGAAGCAGACTCCCTGCTGAGCAGAGAGCCAGACACGGGACTTGATCCCAAGACCCCGAGATCATAACCTGAGCTGGAGGCAGACGCTTAACTGACTGAGCCACCCAGGTGCCCCTTAAAAATAGCTTTTTAAAGTACCTAACCTGCTAACTCACTTGCAAACTTTCCAGGGTCATTTTGAAATGATAAAGTTAAAGCAACAAGCATAGTGCCTGGCATTAAGGAGGTCGTTTAAAATTATTATTATGAAAAGATGCACACAAATGTTTTTAAACTTGAGGATCTATCCTATTAATAAAGAGCTCTTCAAATAGGCTATGCCTTTGCTTATTAATATACTCCAGCATTTACAACCTTTACTTTCAATAAAACATTACTTTGAATTCTGATCCCTCCTGAGTCAATGCACTCTTCCCTACCACCCCCACCCCCCAGTAAAATAAAACAGCAACTGATCACCAGGCAGATTCAATAATCATTTACATCTTTTGAGAGAATAACAGAGTATTTTCTGCTTTATCTATATATACCTGACCTGTACAAGATAAAATAAAATTATATTTAAAAAATAAGGGCCACTTTTACTAAAAATCATGTTTACATACACTGTAACCCTAACCAATGAAGAAGGAAGCAGCTGTAGATCTCACAAGAGGAATTCAGAAATTCACAATTCCACCAATACAAGCCAGATCACATCTAGGTAAATTTCACAAGTTTAAAATTGAATGGGGTACTGCTAAAGTCACTTTTAAAAATATATATGATGTTTATTTTTTAAATTGAGATGTAAGGGACATTTAACATTATATTAATTTAAGATGTATAACACAACGATTTAACATTGTTATATATTGCAAAATGATCACCACAGTAAGTCTAGTTAACATATATGATTTCTTTTTATTTTTTTTTAAAGATTTTATTTATTTATTTGAGAGAGAGAGCACAAGAGCGGGGAGCGGGAGAGGGAGAAGCAGACTCCCTGCCGAGCAGGGAGCCCGATGCGGGACTCGATCCCGGGACTCCAGGATCATGACCTGAGCCGAAGGCAGTCGCTTAACCAACTGAGCCACCCAGGCGCCCCCATATATGATTTCTTAATAAAATGAAATTCACATTTACTACCAGGAATCATCTAATCCATTCACCCAAGAATTCAGGATAATTGTGCCTCCGGCCCCCCAAATGGTGTTTAAAAGATTTGAAAGATTAAAAAATACACTATTTCCCCTATAGTCATCTTCCACTCTATCATGCAGGGTTCCTCCTTACATTTGAGGATGATCTCTCTTTCCTTGATTTAAGGTCCCTTTTCCTTACTTAGACATTGGAAATTCTAAACCAGATTTCCCAGAGCAATAGTACCAAACCAAATGGGAATCTCTCACACTCTAGTTTCTCCTTTTAAACTTAATTTACTTTCATTATTCCTGTCGGACCACTTCCCAGATTTCCTGTATTTCTCATAAGTGCATTCATTTATCCATTCATCCAAAAATGACTCAAGCACCTAATGTGTATCAGGATAGGTATGCAATAATAATTAAGCTGAAATGTATTCTACTCCTTGATGGAACTTAGGTACAGTAGAGGACCCAAGAAGACAAGAACATTCTAAAAGGCCCTATAATTTAAAAGTTACAAATTGTGAAAGTGTCAAAAAAGACTTAAGTTTCCATTGCTAGCATCCCCCCCAAAAAATGTGTTCTCTCTTAAAGCCAGGAATTGTTTAACCTCTGTTTGAACTCTAACCCGCCTCCATCTGACAGCATTCACATCTTAGCCAAAGATCCCCCAGACTTCTCATAAAAGTATATAGTCCTCTTGTTTCCCCTCCAAACTCTTTGTCATTCACTCAGCTAAACTGTAGTCCTAGTCTTCACACATCAAGACATAGTTTTCCAAAGAAATCATCCTGACACTAACTTCACATTCTGAACTCAGCATCAAAACTACCATCTTTTTAAAGCTTTGCCACTCTCTCTTCTATAGAACTACCTCATTCATTTTCAAGTTTACAATCATGAATAAGCAACAATCAAAGAAAGCAATCAGTCAGAATCAGATGCCACAGAAGCTATGAGACATGGCTATTTTTAAACAATACCACTAACATCTAAATAAAGATGGCAAATAAAAACACCATACCACGTAAGCTTGAGAGGCTATCTTCCTCAA